CCACTTGCAGCCTACCGGTTTGCGCCCAGGGGGTAGGGGGACGAGTTCCCAAGTGCCGGTTTCCTGGAGAGCTGCGATCTCCTCCTGCATCGCGGCCTGCCAGATCGCCGCCTCAGGGTCATCGACCGCGTCGGAGTAGCTTTGCGGTTCATCGCTGATATGTTTCGTTACGCCGGTGACGTCGCTGAATCGTTGAGGCGGGACGCCCTTCGTTGGACGCGTGGATCGCCTCGGTTCTCCGAGGTGTGGCAACTCCATGTCACTGAATCCCTCGAATTCACCGTCCGATTGATTCGATTCATCCGCTGTATCGTAGCATTCAGGATCTTCCGCTTCAGGCTCCGCTTCCGGACGCGCCTCGGGTTCGATTTCGGGTTGAGCTTCAGGTTCGACTGGACGGTTCTGCAGACGACCTATATCAAAGAGTACTTCATCGCCTTTCTTACCTTTGGTGGAAGCGTCCGTCGAAACATCCGTTGGATCCTTCTTCATGTCGTCTTCAACGAACTTGGCATCCCGGCTAATGTAGATTTTCCGCGTGGTTCTGTCCAGGAAGCGATAAGCCTTATGCTCCGAGGAGTAGCCCACGAATGTTAACTTTTGTGCTGTGGCGTCCAGTTTCTTCCTTTTCACCTTTGGGATGTGGACCCAAGCACTGCAGCCGAAAATCTTGAGGTGATCGACCTTCGGTTTCGCACCGGTCCAAAGCTCGAATGGTGTGACGTCGAGGGGCTTCGTTGGCAGAACATTTTGTAGGTAGACTGCTGTGGTCAGCGCTTCTGCCCAGTAGCGTTGCTCCAACTGTGCATCGAAAAGCATGCACCGTACCATTTCGATGAGCGAGCGGTTTTTCCGCTCCGCGACACCCTTTTGCTGGGGGCTATAACCGGCGGTGTACTGAGCCGATATTCCCTCTCGCTTGTAGAACGCACGTAGCCGCTTGCTGCTATACTCGCCGCCCTGATCAGAGCGGATAGCCTTCGGCTTTTGGCCAAAAAGTGTCTTGGCGTAGGCGACGTACTCCTCGATTTTTGTGGCGACCTCGGACTTTTCTTTCAGTAGGTAGAGGACGCAAAATCGACTGCGGTCGTCGATCACGGTCATGAAGTACCTGTAACCGCCGACCGATGGCACCTCAACCGGGCCGCAGACGTCCGTGTGCACCAGGTCCATTGGTGCTTTCGATCTGGAATTAGACTCACTCGGAAAAGGGGTGCGTGGCGTCTTACCTTGCAAACAGCATTCACACTTTTCGTCGATGCTGCACCGGCGGAGCGTCAGACCGTCCACTAGTTCCTCCTTCACCAAATGGTCGATTGCTTTCGGATCCCGGTGGCCCAACCGGCGATGCCAAACGTGCTGGCAGTCTTTGTTATGGTGACCGCTTGCCACCATCACGACGTCTTCCGGTTGCTTAATTTGGTAGAGCCCCTGCTTCAAACGCGCCACAGCGATGGTGGCGTCTCCACGAAGAATCCGACAACCGGTCGCGTCGAAGACGACTGTAGCTTGCTTTTGAACGAGAGTCGGGACGGAAAGCAGGTTCATCGAGAGGGTGGGGGCGTAGAGCGCAAAGCTGATGTCCATTTCACGACGATGCCCATGCTCGTCGGCGCACTCGACGACGCAGCAGCCTTCACCTCGCACCTCCGCTTGTTTACCGTCCGCCAGGTTGACAAACTTTACTTCACTTTCGTGCAATTCCCGGAAAAACTTCCGATCCGCTACGGTGTGCCGTGTCGCACCAGAATCGACGACCCACGGTTTGACAGCTTCATCGGATGGTGAAGCTCCTCCTGCAGCAAGCGCGAACGAAACTGTCTCCTTCTTGCTGGTGGTTCTGCCTTGCTGAGGTTCCTTTTCCGAATCACGAGCGAACTTGCGGCACTCCTTTTGTTTGTGCCCCAGCTTTCGGCAATAGTGGCATTCAATTGGCTTCTTCTTCTTCTTGCTGTCATGCCCGACCCGCAGCGCCGAGCTCAATCCAGCACCTTGTCGCTTTGCTGCCTCGTCCAGGAGCTTCCTTTTTACTAGCTCCAGCGTGAGGTCGTCATCCGACCGGCTTTCGAGGGCGGTTGTGAGGGTGTCGTACGAGGAGGGGAGACTTCTCAAAATCATCGCGACAGTGAGATTCTCCGCGAGCTCCTGTCCGGCGTTTGCCAAACGCGAAAACAAATCCTCCATCTCGAATAGATGCTCCGCCATGTCGTCACCGTCGGTAAAGCGCTTGTCGCAAATTCGCTTTAGCAGCGACACTTTTGACGTCAGGCTCGTCTTTTGGTGGTGGTTTTGCAGCGCCGTCCAGGCGTCTTTGGCCGTTCGTGACGCGCGGATCAGCCCGTGCTGGTTGTCTTCAATTAGTAGGCCGATCGTAGCCCGTCGCGTCGGCTTCCCCTTCAGGCTTCACACCCGGATCCACGTAGCGCCAGAGCTCCTCTCGAACGAGCAGCAGCTCCACTTTGAAGCGCCACGTCGGGTAGTTGGTATTCCCCAACTTTTGCACGGAGAATCGATTTCCTTCCATTGCACACGCGAAAAATCGACCGAAAACACGCGAAAACTTCGATTTCAGGACGAATATACCGCGAACTAGCGAAAACTTTTCGTTTTTACAAATGGCGTCACCACTCTTCCGCCGTGTTGCCCATAACCTGATGCAGAGTAGCTGGCTCGGACAGTGGAGAAAAGAAACGCGTGCGGTTCACAAGGGTGACAACTATGGAATGATCTTTATTCAGTTTTAGATTCGTAGCAGAGTGGTAGCAAAGTAGTGTGCGTGTCAGTGTGTGCGTTACAACGAGTGTGGATAACTGGGATAAATGAGATAAAATAAAATGTTGCACTCAAAGAAATTGTGTGGTTTAAATTGACAACGGTGCCACACGGTTGTGTAGCCCGTCACAGTGTGCATGGGATGAAAGCAGAACAGAAAAGCATAATGCATGATTTTATTACGAGAACTATTTTCTTTTTACAAGAGCAATTCAAGCTGAACTTTGCATTAGGTCCTAAGTAACATTTATCGATTCTCTTCGTCGACTTTCTTTTTCGTTAATAACTTATTCACAGAACCCTTTTTCGATGTGTTTGTCGTATTGGATGCTAGATAAAAGCTTCTTTTATCAATTTATGTGCTGAAAATACCTGGGAATGTCTTTACATGACCGTGGGGATGCAAAGAGAAAGTTGACGAAGCGAATCTGTCAATATTACTTAGGACCTAATGCAATGTTCAGCTTGAATTCATTTTTTATTTGAGGGCAAATGTATATTCCTATTCTACGGGTGCAACCGATGAATTTTACAAACATTTAGAAAAGTTTTGAATGGTACATTAACCTTTATGAAAAGTTATGCGTGATTTCAACCTTTTTGCCCTAGGACTGTCACCATTCCATGTATTTCGACCAAGATTCGACCGTGTCACCCCATGTATATGCGAGCGAGAACGGAAGAAGCATGGAGATTGCTGAAGTTTTTCTTACGCACACTACTTCGCGTATACGTATACACGAAATGTTTTCATGCTCATGCTAACAATTTTGTTGATTTTCTTTGCGCTCCGCTTGGAAGTACCGGAAAGTTTTGATTCTTTTCTATGTTGTAAAAATAAACCACCTATTTACATTTCTGACAAGTTGCAACTGAATGCTTATAATTGTTTTTAAAATAACTGTTTCATGGCCAACTAGTTTTATTGCGCTTACTTATAAAGCAACGAAAGGATTTATTTTTTGGTTTTATAAGGGCAATTCATATTACTTTTTTGTATACTTCAAAGCAATCATAAAACCTTTCATAAGTGAAAATAGCATAAGCATCAGTTGGTTTTTTAATTAGCTTTATAGGGGTTTTGTAGATAGCTATAAGAATGTTTCATGACTTGCATTGTATATGACCGTGATAAAACTGTAGGTAATGGTTGCAGCTGCAATAAAACCTTTATAAATTTTGAATATAGCCAAGCAGCTCTAGATTTGTTACTTGGGTAAGCTGTCTGTAACTAGGGGAATATACGTATTCTCGGCAATCTAAGCAGCTTCCGCATTTCTATTAGCATTTTCTCAGTGTCACGCACACATATGACGTGTCTGTTTGTTTACATTTATCTGCTGCTAGCTATTCTATCCATTCCAATCGACAGAACTGTCCACACCGGGTAGAAAACCTTTTTAAGGCGCTCCAAACTTCTCAGGTGAGTGTGACTATTGTCGGCAGCCTCTTTTACTTCGGCAACCTTTCCGTTTAAACTGTGTGTTAACCAGCTGTTCTATTACCGGCAACTCGAAATCAGCCGTATTTTCATGTGCTCATGTTTCATTTGAAGAAACACCTGGCATAACAGATTTTCTCAGCCGTAAAAATGTATTAGGATTGAAGCTGAAAGACTACGGAATCGTTTAAATACATTCAGCGAAGTGTTTTAGTGAGAAAATACAGCGAAAATAACGTTTAAATTATGGTTGCCGAAAACAGTCGATGGCTGCCGAAGCCATCATTTACCCTACCTGTATTGTCAGTCATAGGATGCGTTTATGTTTATATTATACTGTTAAAAATAATCACAGTTATACTCACTTTCGAATATAGTTACGGCTTCCATTTCAACTTACCCTGCATTTTAACTTGCCCCGGTGTATCTTATTTGGTTCATTGTACTCCAGGATTTTTTTTTTAAATAGGTTACTCCAAAATCTTCTTACTGATTCAACCAATTACGCTCAAAACTGTACCGATACATCTAGAATACTCGACCAACAAGCAGCCAAGATTTCATGAACATGTTACGGACATCCGGTATATATCCGGTACTGTATCTGCTTTACTTTTACAAACAATGACTTAGATCGCCAATTTTTCTAGAATAAAATCTCAGGTCTAGTACATCCGCACCCGTCCTTAGTTGTTTACATACTTGCATCATATGTTCCCAACTTGCTGTACATTGAAAGTATTGTACTACAAACGTATTCAATGCTCTGCTTCTCGTTTCTTTCCAGATTCCGCAAAATGTACGGAATGTACATTAGTCACGTACTTCTGTGAACACATCTAACAAATAAGTAGAAAATCAGCTGTTACTGGTGCTGCTGATAGGCGCGTTCTCCCAGTGTACATACCTACTAGATATTTACCATTCGAAATAGAGTAAAATCTAATTCGGCGCTCTAACTAAACATGGCCAACCTAACTGATGGCGATCAGAGCTTTTGCAATGCATCGCAATCCGGTGCTACCGGAACGGCCGGTACGACAGTGGTGGCCGCTACCAGTCCGGCGGGAGTAGCTGGGACACCATCATCTGGCGGAGGTGGAGGTGGTGTATCTTCAACCCAGGGCAGTGGAAGCGTGTGGGCAGAATTCTGCGAACGACATGCACGTGCTGCTTCAGCGGACTTTGCCCGATCCTGCGTGCACTACATCACCACCAATCTGCCGGAGTCCGCCCGACAGACCGTTTCACATCGGGATTTTATGAGGCGCTTTGTCGAGTGCTTTCAGGAACACTTTGAGCATGATTTCCACCGAAGACGAATGCAGTGCAAGGTAAGTTTGGTGTGGGATTTGATTGGCGATCCAACCAGAGAACATCATCACAGTCAAAATGGATAGAATGGTGAAGTGCTTAATTCCTTGAACGAACCGCGTTTTGAAAGATTAGATCACACCCGCAGATATCTAAATGGCTAATTGAGTTTATTTTCTTTAATTGCATCTACAAATCAATAACGGTAGCGTCTCTCAAGCAAAAACCAATACCGGCTGAAAGTGCTGGGCTGAATGCGATGGATCCGTAGTTGTTCGAATTGATTGGAGCTGATTATTTTGTTATTGCTATTAATTAAATCGTCTTATCAGCGGTATGCTGTTTGCGGTTTCACGCTTGCTCATGCCGTGCCGCTTTCGTCATCTCGTGGTCAAGTTCATTGTGCTGTTTTCAGGCAGTACGGTGAATTTGGTAGCCTGTTTTCCGTTTTGGCTAGATACTGATGATGGTGAAATTGAAATATGATTTGCACGGTTACATAATTTTTCTTATTCTCCTTAATTCTCGTAGACCGGAAATGGAACTGTGGTGCTGGAGGAAAGTGATTACTCAGAGGACACCGACTCACCTAAGACCAACCACAAGCCCTTCTTTCGACGACTTTCGTTCAAGGGCCTACGCAAGGGCAAGGTAATTCATGTGAGCATCCCATCCAATTCGCCTCGTCGTTGTTTCATCTTTGCGTAGAAAACAATTATAATTCTTACATTCAATTTTGCTTGTAGGCACTTTTCCATAAACAGCACTCGGACGAAGTGGAACTGTCCGGCAGTCGGGTGAGCAAAACCAAACTGGCAAAAATAGTGGTCGAGTGCAGAAAGGAGGGTACCGTAAACTATCTGACACCGGAAAGCCTGGACCAGCCCAGCAATTCACATAAATGGGAAAAGTGTAAACTCGTACTGGTGAAGACGGTCGGTGGCTACATGCTCGAGTTCTATTCCCCGCCAAAGTCACAAAAGGTAAGAATCTTATGGACGACCCCTAAGAATTTTGCGGAACAGAATTTCTTACTTTACTCTTTCTGGTCCAACTTCCTTCAATGAGAAACCATAATATGAGAAACCATATTCCAGAACAACATGTGAAAAGGGCATACAAGCTTTTTGTAAACAAACCTTTGTAGGCCCTTTTCTCACCAACCGAGGGTCGCCCACGCAAACCAGCAATATCATCGGGAAGGGGAAAGTGTCCCCTACCCGGTGATGTTAAAGGTTTGCGTTGGTGTCATATGGGTGGCGAGAAAAGGGCATAAGAAGGTTTGTTTACAAAAAGCTTGTATGCCCTTTTCACATGTTGTTCTGGAATAGCATTTCCAGGCCAAATAGCGAAAAAAAAATCTACAAATAGGGGAAATGTATGTAATGTCGGCCTAAGTGTCCCTAATTTGGGCCCATACATAAATTCAGCAATCGTCTAAATTTTAAATAGCAACCAAAAATATCCATTAGTACCGTCCCACCGTTCATCTAGATAAAATTGATCAATAGCAGATTTTTAGGGATGGGCCCAATGTTAGATCCATAGGCCAGCATTAGAGCCATTTCCCCTACTAGATTTTATTTCTCAGGATTCCATGAATCTTCGCATAATTGTTGAACCAATGTTGGGTTGGAATTCGACCATTTTGATTCTCGCATAATTTTTCAAACTAGCCTCACCTAATCGAAATTATGAATGAAAAATCATAAATTTTGAGCCGTCGGACGGTAATAGTACATGAGGTTTTGGAAGTGTGGTTTATGGGGTCCTACCGGAACCGGTTCCGGCTATCGAGATATGGTTAGATCTGCCTGACATCTACCATGGCATGATGTCTATTTACTTCTGGAAGAAAAATCATAAATGTTGAGCCGTCGTACTATACCATTACATTAGGGTTTGGAAGTGTCCTTGCCAGATTGGAGAAATCCTAGTCAGTCGCTGAATGCTTCTTTTGACAGCCGAAGACGAACTTGCCCAGGGCTAAAAATCACCTTAATAAAGATATATATAAAACAAATCTTTTAAAAGCAACAAGTTTGTTTCCGAAAGTTAGGAAAAGCCAGGAAATTTCAGGTCCCTGTCGTATTTCGTTACAGCTCAGCGTGCCCCAATTCACTAGGAAGGTTAAGGAAATTTGCAGTGACTTACAAGGAGTTCCGTGGAATTCTGGAATATTCCAAGAAGTCTATGATTGATTCCAAAGCTTCAGAAGTGTCAGGGAATCATGAATATATGTATCACAAAATTTTCCGGAACATTGAACAAATTTAGAGTACTTCAGATAAGCACAGAAAACTTCAGGGATGTCCAGAGAAGTTCAGGGAAAATTATTGATTTAAGACAGTCCCGTGAGCGTTTATAAAGTTTATAAATCTTAAGGAAAATTGTGGAAGTTTCAAGGCCATTCAATTAATTTCAGTAAAATTGCGGAACTTGAAGGAAATTCATAAATCTTTTGTGATGTTTTAATAACTTCAGGCAAGTCTAGACAAGCTTTTCTCTATCTACGGGATCGTGGGTATTCTATGTTTTTCAAGCCGACGCAATGTCAATTTGTTTCTAATTTTGAGGTAATCATATGTATACACATACAGCCAGGCATGGACAATTATTTACATTCATTTGCCTCTAGCTTTTTTCATCAACAGATTTCTGTAAAATAATGTATGAAGCTTTTATTGATTTTGACATTAGCTACATTAGAGAATAACTCAAATCTGTATCTCTTAGGCATGATGATCCAGAGCGAACAGAATCCGCCATTGTTTTTCTGTGAATGTAAATTACATTCACTGAAAAATAATAAAAAGTTCTGAACGCTCTAGTTCGTCATACTTAAGCGATACAGATTTGAGTAATTTCCAAAAGTTGTAGCTAATATCAAAACATACAAAAGTTTCAATCAACATTTTATTAAAATTCTTTTGATGAAAAAAGTTAGAGGCAAATGAATGCACGAAATTAATGTAAATGATGTACAACATCTGTATTAAATATTGAAAGGTTGGGAGCTTATTAGATTTCAAAATAAGGAAAAGAAGAAAAGGCCGATTGAAAAACGCTAGTCTAGACTATTGAAGAAGGAGTTATTAATTAGTGTCGATAATTTAAGAGCAGTTCCATGCACTTCTTGAGAACTTCAGTGAATGATAGAACTATATTAATTATTTAGTTTTGATTACAAATAAAAAATTGCAAGAGCTTAAAGAAGTTCCAGATATTTCAGAAAAACGTTGAACACTTCACAGAAGTGCAGAAACTGTTTTGAGAACTTCATAGAAGATCCAAACACTATGCGTATGCGCTACCGTATGCGTGAATTTGTTTGCACCATTAAGCAATGTCAAAATTTAAAAAAAATCTCAAAAATTTCGTTTTCGAGTTTTTTTTTATTTATTTAAAGGGTGCATGTTTCTCAGAGTCTTAAACTATGTTAATCATCGATCGGGTTTCCACTTGCTGCAATTACGGCCTCCACACGCTACCGGAATGCACGGACTAATAATGTAGTCTGGATCCATTTCTCTCCAGGTACGGGTTAATGTTTGTCTTAGGCTTGCTGTACTCTGGTGGCGTTTGTTTAGAACAGGCCTTGGCCTTCATGACGCGCCACATTGAGTAATCCAGCGGATTAAGATCGGGACTGGATGGCGGCCACATATGCTTCGCCCAGAACGGAAGATGTTCCTGCAACCACATCTTCGTGCGGTTCGAGGTGTGGCACGGAGCCCCATCTTGTTGAAATATTTGGCTTCGGACCGTACTATTCTTTGATCCACGGAAGAACATACTTACTTAAAATCCCGATGTAGACCTCCGTGTTGACCTTCTGGAATGAACACCGGGTCCATTTTTTGCCATCGGAAGCCATCAATCCAAACACCATAACGCTAGCAGGATGCTTGGTCAGATACACGTTCTTGTGCTCGTCGGCCACGTTATTACTCGTCGGTGAACAGGATTACCGGATTTTTTCGCTTAAGGAATTTCAAGATTTTCTTGCATCGTTCGACTCGTAGCTCCCGGATGCGGTTGGTAATCATGTGAGTTTTTTTCCGTGCCCTCGACTTCGCCCCGCAATCTTCCTTTACGATATTCCGTGCCGTAAAGTCACTGATCCCGTGTTCCTTTGCCATTTTACTTATTGAACGCACTGGATTCACCCGAATCTTCCTTTTAATAGCAGCGATAACCCTCGGAACCCGAGCTGACCTCGAACGACCTGTGGCCACCTTCGCGGATAGTTGTCCTTTCTTTTCTCGGTCTAAAACCCTTTTGACGGTCCACCGGGACAAGGGTCTTTTTGCGACATTTGCGCGTGGGACAAATCAGTGCCAACATTTCTAAGGGGCGTAATTGCATTTGTAAACAATGACTTTCGTCATTGAATGACACCAGCTAGCATTGATAATTTGGAGGGTGGGCTTTTATTTGCGAGAAATCGACGGTTAAAGCCATTGTTTACAAAAGCAATTAGGCCCCTTTGAAAAGTTGGCACTGAAACTGTCAAACTAAGGAAATCATTTTCTTTTATACACAGCCTACTACGGTGTGAGCTATAGGTTACGTGCATGCAAAGAAAACCAAGTATGCACAGGTGAAACGGGAACCTTATTTTGTACGATGGTGCAAACATTATCACGCATACGGTAGTTTGACTCTTGCTAACGGCTTCGTGAGTACGTCAGCAACCATCATCTCCGTAGGGCAATTTCCTTCTTCAGACCGCAGCATCGCAATACAGCTTTGATTGTCCTCCTGTACCGTGATGGGTTTGGCAACGATCTCTCCTACGTCCTTCATCAGCTTAAGAAGCCAGAGTAATTCACGACTAGTTTTCGATAAGGCGACATATTCCGCTTGGGTTGAAGAAAGTGTAACGCACTGCTGCTTCCTAGCCGTCCAGCAAATTGATCCGCCAAGTCGGAAAACGAATCCAGTGTTACTTTTCCGGTCCGCACGATCACCAGCCCAGTCAGCGTCTACCTGCATCTCCTAGCTTCAATCTCTAGTCGGCGGTGGTGTAGAGATATCGCAATGTGCGTTTGGCTTCCGTCCAATCAGCTTCGGTGGAACGGCTAACCTCCCAGAATGCATGCGCTAATGGCAATGTCAGGCCTCGTATTCACCGCAATATATAGCAAAGCACCTACTAAGCTTTGGAACTCTTCGTTCCGCGGCATCGGATCCTCCTCCATTTGTTGTAGATTCGGATATCCGGGGTCCATTGGAATGTGAGACGGCTTCGCTTTGTCTTGTATAAACTTAGCCGTTACCCTCCGGATGTAAGCGCTCTGATTCAACAGGAACTGGCCAATTTGCGTTCCCTGAATCTGGATACCGAGGTAGTTGGATACAGCTCCAAGATATGTGATTTTAAAATGTCGCTGCAGAAATTTACAAACCCTTCCGTATTCTTCTTCGTTTTGTGTTAAATCAGCATATCGTCTACATAGAGCAAGACGAAAGACTTCTTTCCGTGGCATGTTCTCACGTAGAGACAAGGATCGGATTCGGATGGTACGTATCCGAGCTCCCGTAACACCTCGCTGATTTTCCCATTCCACACTCTTCCCACCTGTTTCAAACCATACAGGCTCTTTCGCAAACGGCAGACATCATTCTTGGCACTAGACGCAAATCCAGCAGGCTGCTTCATAAAGATCGTCTCGGATAATTCGCCGTGCTGCACTATGAGGTTCCGACGTGCAGCGATACTCAGGAGGTACTTCGTCATAGTCCGTTCCGTACTTCTGGTTGTATCCTTGGGCAACTAGACGAGCTTTGTAGCGTATTATGTTACTCTGTTATCATCGAGCTTCTTCTTAAAAATCCACTTGCTTCCGATGGCCTTCCTGTCAGCGGGGAGTCTGACTACTTCCCAAGTTGCATTCTCTCGAAGTGACTCGATCTCCTCCTCCATTGCTCATTTCGATATTCCGTTACCAAAGTGACTACATCTGGATAACGACACGGCGGTACACCTTTATTTGCAGGGTCAGACCGCCGTGGAGTGTCAATACCATTCTCCTCCTGTCCATCGGTTGATCCACTCTCCTCCAGAATTTGGACTTCATCGTCGGTCGTTTCATTTTGAAAATCACCATAAGTTGACTCGTAGCCGTAGAAATCCTCATCATTGGAATCACCGTCTTCGTCGTGTTTGTTTACTGGAACAACGGGGACGTCGTCGACATTAGCAGGTTCAATAGGTTTAAAGGGATAATCAATCATACTTCCCTTATGAGGTTCGGTTGCCCGAACCTCCTCCGGCGTTAGGAATACTGCATCACGGCTCACAGTCAGCTTGTCGCTCTCAGGATCCCTGAAGCGATACGCCTTGTGCTGCAGAGAATAACCAACAAACACCAGTTTTCTTGATTTCGCCTCTAGCTTGGATCTCTTCTGTTGGGGAATCCACACGTACGCTGGTGATCCAAAAATCTTCAAATTACTTAGATCCGGCTTCGATCCACTCCACATTTCGATCGGAGTCTTCTGCAAAGGTTTGGTTGGCAAGCGGTTCTGCAAATAATTGGCCTGGGCCCAGAACTTCTACTGCAAACGTGAATCGATGACCATGTCAGTTAGTATCTCATTAGTGAACACACTCCGTTGAAGGAGGCTGGATTTGCTCGTTCACGTAGTTCCAAAAGGATTCCGGGTGTAGCTTAAGTTTGCGCTGGATGCCTCGTTGGAAACTTGAAAAGCATTCACGACTGACTCGCTGGTATATTTGATTCAGCCTCACATAATGTAGTTTCAGAGGAAGCGTGCGATACTTCGTAAATCTTCTCAATGCTGCTCTCTTGATTGACTTCAACCTACGTAGCTCTCTCGTCTGCCAGGGAGGGTGAGACACTTTGTGGTGAGTTCTTTTCGGGACGTGTCTGTCATTGACATATGCCAAAACATGTGAAAAGGTTTGCGCTGCAGCCTCAACGTCATCTGGATCAAGGATGTTCTCCCATACCATGCTAGACAATACATCTATGATGCTACGGTGGTCAGCTTTACGGGAGTCATAAGAAACCGTTGCAGGATAATCGTCGAAATCACGCACGAGTTTGTCCTCAACAGTGACAATTAGACGAGGGTGATGTGGAACTAGCTTAGTTAGTGCACAAGGAGCCGAGGAAATTAATGGAGCCCTGTCATGTGTGCGAAGCAGAGGTCCAAACTACGATCATTTTCGTTACCTACATGGTTAATTTGAGAAAGCGTCGCTGCGCTGTAGCTGTCGAGAAGGCTAATAGCTCCTGCGTGAAATGTAGAGCTATCAGGTTCTGGGTACATGAATCCGCTATGAGATGGACTCCACGAAACGCCTGGCAGATTGAAGTCACCAAAAATGAATATCTCATCAACTGGAGTGACACTTTCGATAACTGTGAAAACTGACCGACAGTGAGTATCGATGAGTTCATTGTCCCGGACTCGATCAGGTGGAATGCATCGTTTTCGATGGCCTTTGCCTCTAACCCGCCACGGACAGCTACAAGGGCACCTCCACCAGTAGATTTACGACTGTTGTTAGGATTCCGATCCCAACGAAAGACCTCGTAGTCAGGACCGAAGACTTGACTGGAAAGCGTTCGATAATCGAGCCAAGTTTCGCACAGGACAATTACATCGTAGCAACAATCCGATACAGCTAGGCGGTACTCTTCAACATCAGAATTCATTCCACCGGAGTTTTGGTAGAAGATCACGACGTCCTGCTTGCGGCAAGGAATCGAACGACTGCTCTCCCTGGAAATCACAGATACATCAGGCAATAACTGACCATCATCAAGTCTCATTGGATACTCGCCATAGTGAGTGGGTTGGAAGACCCCCTCTCTACATCCGACAGCAGGTCCGGAACGACTATGATGAATGAAGGCTGCTGATGGCATGACTGAGACGGAGGGATTGAGAGCTTCCAGTGGGGCACTCTAGAGAATAGTAAATATATTGATTGTACATGCCTGTAGAGGCAAGATGGAAGACTTCTGATTATTCGGAATATTCGGCAGATAGAAATAAGTAAATTTTGTTAAAAACAATGAACAATGAATTATTGGCTCCGTAAAGCTAAGGCGATTGAACCTTCCAAATAAACAAACTAGATAAAAAAAAATGTCTCATTGATTGCATGTCATTTTGTCATTTTTCGATATATTGGATTTCCTTCACAGAAGTATTATTTGAAGCAAAACCCACATTTTGCAATAATATCATGTTATACTAAATAATTTCAACATACATACTTGCAAACCGCTCCTACTGAAACAGCTGCAACAGTGGAACATCAATCGAAGCGCCGTGTGGTTTCACAAACAAATAAATATTTTGGATCGTAATGTATAGGTATAGGTTTCCGATTGTTGAATCACGATCTGAAAACTGAAAACTGGCGTTGTTTTTTTTTGGTAAAAGGCGGTTTCTCAAACAAATGATTCAACTACCCTTCTTTCTTTATTGCATATTAGATAATCTATAATGTGGTGAATAGGTACTCTACACTGAACAAAATCTAATTTCTGATATTAACTGAATCGAAGTTTCGTTAAGGAATAATCATTTTACAAAACCCTACACAGATTGCTCATCTCTAGTCTAAACGGGTCTTAGAAGTTTACTAGCTCACTACTTCTTTCAGAACAGTTACAGTACGAACTCAAAATGTCCATCTATTTTGTTCTTCCAGCCTCGCAGCGGTGTATTCTGCTTTCTAATAACGGAAGCACGGGAAACGACTGCCCTCGAGATGCCGGACCACGAGAACACGTTCGTGTTGAAGGCAGACAACAACATGGAGTACGTCATCGAGGCCCGTGACACTGACGATATGCGCAGCTGGCTTGCGACGATACGCTACTGTATGCGTAGCAGTCCGACGTCCCAGTTGACACCCATTTCGGATTTGAACACCAGTCTTAACACGTCGATTTCGCATGGTGGAGGAGGCGGCGGCGGTGGCGGCCCTGGAGGAGGAACGACAACTGGTTCCGTTAGTGGTGGTGTAGGTCAATCCAACAGCTTGGTGAACGATGTGAATAATATGAGTTTGAACCAATCATCCCTAAATGCTGTCCCTACAAAGCCTGCCCCAGAACTGCCACCTCGTCGGGAGGAAGGCAGAATATCGTCTTCGTCGAATTTCGAACTTACTGAAAACGATCTGGAACCGGCGCACGAGGCTGACACCGATCTGACGGCCATGATGCGCGAATATCCCTGGTTCCATGGAACGCTAGCCCGATCCGAAGCTGCTCAGCTAGTGTTACACAATGGAAACTCTAGTCACGGTGTGTTCCTGGTTCGGCAGAGTGAAACGCGCAAGGGCGAGTTTGTGCTGACCTTCAACTTCCAGGGTAAGGCCAAGCATCTGCGGATGACATTGAACGACCTCGGTCAGTGTCGGGTGCAGCATTTGTGGTTCCCTTCGATAACCGAGATGTTGGAACACTTTCGACAGCATCCGATACCGCTGGAATCTGGCGGTACGGCGGATGTGACGCTCACCAACTATGTAGTGCTTCCTTCGCATGCAATGGCAGCTACGCAGTCGAACAGCAACAACTATTCGACGACGACCATTGGAGGTGGTGCCGGTGCCCCCGGTGCAGCTGCAGGAGCAGGATCCAGTGCCAATCCGAATACCAGCCCGAGACATGTGAGATAGTAGACATCTTTTTTGTGTCATTCTTGTCTTCTTCTCTAGCTCTATGTTTTATACGTTTTATTTTGCGCCTCTTGTTTAGTTTGTGAAAGCTGATAAAAAAATACCATTAACATTCAAAAATAAACGCGCAAAACAGACATACATAGACTAATGACGAACCCAACATAGAACTCGTTTAAGTAGAGATAGAGGAAGAGAGAGAGAGAGAGAAAGAGAGAGATAGAGTACCATGTTAAACATGAGATTGACTCACGCTTTATGTTAGTGTTTAATATATAGCAACTGTTTGTTCGAAGCAAAACCAGTAAGACTCAGAGATAAACGATCATAATAGATTGTTTGTTTTGCTTTCGATTTCAATTATAAAGGTTAGGTCACTCCGCACCGCGTTGTCCAAATGTCAGCATCACTGTCAGATTCGAGTTCTTGACTTTTTAACAGTAGTTCCTATAGAAATAAGGTACTTGACCGGTCGTAACTGAGTACCGCAAAAGCAAATGTAATGCAGGAAAAGCAACACCAATTCAATCGAAATTTGTCTGATTTGACAAAACGTGGAGTGACCTCATCCAAACGATCGTTTCCTTTTGTGGTTGCATTTGATTTCGATCTTATTTTCAACACAAACACGAAAAACATACACGGTAGAGTGAGCTATAATTATACGAAGACGACGACAATGACAAGAACGAATCAAGCACCTTTACCCTATACCATCAACCCTTACATAGAAACAACAAACCACTTGAGATTATACAGATTGCATGCTTTTATCATTATTGCTGTGTATTGGGCACATCATTTGAGGAAACAAAAAAAAGTCTGCGGTGCGGCAAATTGTATAGGATTATTATAGTCAATCGCGTTTGTTGGTGGAAATTACAACCATCGATCGCGATTGTCTTTCGGAACCAGCCTAGTGTTACACTGAAGTACAGCACTATGTATGTGGACAGTAAATGAGTAAAACATAGAAAAGCATGAGCATTATTATTTATAATTTAACAACATTTTGTTATTATTTCGCTTAGAGAAATCATCCGTGCCATTCATATCGAATTTGTTTTAGAGCTTAGTTCGGACCCGAACAAACGATTGTACGGCATTTCCCCGAATGTCACTGTCAGGAATACTTTATGTTTTGGTGTAAAAAATATTCAAATGTGTTAGCGACATTACCCCGAACGCCGGCCGCTACCCCACTACCCTGAAAATCATTATCCAGAATCTATTGACCATTTCGAAAAGTTATTGATTTTCCAACTTTTATTATATATACTTAGGGGAAAGTGCTTAAAAATCAACTTATTGAACATATTTTACAAAAAATCTGTTGCAGTCTCAATGATTGGAACCTACTTAAACTATCAATATCATTTTAGTCTAAAAAATTACTTTTCTCTAGTCCGAATATTCGAAAAATGTTGGACTAGTACAAAATGTCAAAAATGTTATAAGATTTCTGAATCAGAAAATAAGGTCTATCAGTAGTTTCTTATAGTGGCGCCAGTGGTGTAGTGGTAAGCGTGATTGCCTCTCACCCCAAAATGCCTGGGTTCAATCCCAGTCGGCGCCACCGAGTTTTTTTGAGGCATAAAATCTCTGATTACGCCTTCCTACGGAAGGGGGGAAGTAAACCCGTTGGTCCCCGGCTATGAGTTGATAAGTCGATAGGTAGGGTCCAGGTGTGGGAGCTGCCTCCCTGGCTTCGGTAGCATTGGTACTCAGTACGGAAAACAAATCAAAGAAAAAAAAAAGTATTTTCTTATAACTTATCGTTAGTATTCCTTCAGCAGCTATATACTGCCGCTGGAAGCATAATTGCCCCATGTGTATATGAAACTCCATAGCACATGGGACAATTATGCTTCCACCGGCAGTATAAATAGTCATTGGTTCCTTATATGACACGATGTTTTCTAGTTTTTAATAAACTTTAAAGTTTTTCTTAGCTTACTTAAGTCCATTAAGGGCTGATATTTCAGGCATCTTCTACTTAAATTCTTCAATTTTGCATTATTCCTTTTATATCTGACTGTATCATATGACATCACGTTTTGAAGCAGCTGCTTTGGAAGAAAATCAGTCTTTCACAAGACTGAAAAAAGTATAGCCTTAAATAGGCATTACTTCTTCAATTTAATTTATTCGACAGAAAATAATGGAGACTTAAAAAAAATTATGCTAAAACTGTTCATCGCAGACCCTTCGGCTTTACCTCAAGAGAACAGAAAGGGGCTAATACTCCTCCGATAGGGTGCTCAACGGGTTTGTTTTGGTAACTAAATGAACATTTTTTAAATCTTCTTTCATAAGTTTACTTTTAATGTTCAATTTGTATTCATGATGTAAATAGGGCTTGAAACTATCAATTACGTTAAAACCCCCATTCGAATTTTCCTCTGAATTTGGTATCATTGGTGATGATGTTCTTAAGGGGAAGCTCACCGGCCCAAAAATAAAAAAAATATTTTCGGTACGTTTTTATTTTTCTAAAAATATTGGGAAAAATTATCAAAAATCCAAGAAAATCAGTTTCTTCCTTAGATTTTTGTCAAAAATTACATGCAAAAAAAAATTTTTCTATCCCATCATGAAAAAAAAATTGGACTCTCAGAAAAACCGAAAAGTTGATGTTTTGTGGTTTTTTGAGTCCAACTTTATGCCATAATGACTTATAAAACATGTTTTTGCACGTGAACTTTCTTTAAAAAATTAAAAAAAATGTGATTTTTTTAGATTTTTGATACTTTTTTTCAATATTTTTAGAAAAATCAAAACGTAATTTTTTTTTTCGGAGCGGTCTGCTTCCCCTTAAGGTGGCCAAACTGCCCCATTTTCCCCTAGTATTCACTTCCTAATTAAATATTCGAAGAAGGAAATATTTCCTTCTTTATTAATATTCGAAAAAAGGGATAATTTTCTTCTTTGTTTTATATTTAAAAAAGAGAATATTTCCTTCCTTATTAAATATTCATAGAAGGGACTACTTCCTTCATTATTGTATACTAGCTGAGTGTGCCCGGTCTTGCTCGGGATTCAATATTAGCTTGAGTTTATGCGCCGATTTAAAAAAAAATGCTCTATTGTACGTAGCCCCCCCCCCCCCCTATTATCTAAGGGGCTACCCCCTATGATTATCTCCTTATACCCCCACACTCGCCCCCACATGCCTAATTTGGTTCCATTTGCTTGATTAGTTCTCGAGTTATGCAGAAATTTCTGTTTCATTTGTATGGGAGCCCCCCCTTACAGAAGGGGGAGGGGTCTCGAACCATCATTAGAACCTTCCACGGCCCCAAAAACCCCTGTATACAAATTTTCACGCCAATCGGTTCAGTAGTGTTTTTCAGTAGGTTTTCCGAGTCTATAAGGGTCAGACAGACAGACAGACAGACAGAAATTCATTTTTATATATATAGATTTAAAGAACAGAATGTTATTAATCAAATAACTACTCTGAACTTACGGTTTATTATGTAAATTTAAAGTTTATGAAAAACCTGAGAATATTTACTTTCCCGGGAAGAAATGCTACATTCCTGGAAATTGTGCTCCGGGAAATGACGTACAATCCGAGCAATCGCAATAAACCTGGATTAGATTGAAACATTAAAGCATATTTTGAGAACTAAGTTAGTACGCAGGTTGACAAAAAATGTTTGATTCAGGGTCTATTCCTCTGACAATGCATTGTGTGTTATGATATAAGATACAGGTATCATTCATTCTCTAAAATCATTCGCGTTTCTGGGAGTACCGTAAGACGGAGTGACATCCCAAGAAACACAATTCATATAATTTTGTTGAATAAACTGCTTTACCACCAAAACCCGTCATAACATGGTTATATAAACTGTAATAACGAGTGTTCAATAAAAAATGAGAATGATTTCAATACCGTCCAGCGCTCTTGTGAGAACATCGCGACTAAGTTGCGTCGTACGGCTGACCAGGGCCCCTTCTCCAATATTCATTGAAATTTTTTCGAAGAATAAACATTATATTTTTAATAAAAAATACCTATTTGAATTCGTAGAAAAAAAATTTTTTTTTTACTAGCTATATATGACTGAAAAAATAATCTCATTTTTTATTGAACACCCGTTACAATATGTGTGTTGCTTGGGATTGGGTCTAGGGGGTGACATTGGGCCAAAATTAAGCAATGTTTATTGATGCAAATATATTGAATATACTGAAAATTATGACTAGAATACGCTTCTTCAACTCCTGTAGTAGGGTTTAGATAGTATTAACCAGTTGTTTTATTTGAATAGTGCTGTAAAGTTTATGTAGATAGACAAGGGTTACACGCGTTCTTTAGCCATACGTAAGAAGTACATTGTGATCATACCCAAGTGCTAATAGCTACGTTACAATTACATATTTGAATATATTTTAATTTATGTTTTGGCCCAGTGTCACCCCCCATTAATTGGTAATTTTTTTATTTAAATCAATTTCAATCAACCATTTCCATGACAGTCATAAATATATCTTAGACGAATATATTTAAATACCTAAATTTCGTCCCCTGGTAGGGAACGATACATTTTGATTTTTTTGGCCCAATGTAATTCCCACTTACTGTATATTGTTATGTTATTATTTGGCAACGACGGATTAGGTAACACATTTTGACCCTTCTAGGAAAAACAAATTCGATATAACTTCAGGTGTTGGTTATTGATCGCAAGAGGTTGTGTGTTTCAAGTAATTGAGGTGCGCCCCATGTGCAATTCTATTCGACTGGAGTTTTTTTTGACTTTATTAGAGAGATTATTAGCCGTTGGCTAGGTCATCTCTAAAACGACTGGTGCTTCTCTAAAGTGCTGAACTCAGAATTCCATGAAACTTCAACATGGGGCAATGAACCAAGTGTGTACTGGATTGCGGCCATTTTGAGTCCTGCCTAATTTTTCAAAATGGCGTATTTGATATTTTTTCTATAAACCACAGCACGAAACCGGCTCATCTAATCGAAATGT